CGACAACAATGATGACACACATGGTTTTTCCCCGGAATCTGTGAACTAGTGCTACTGTACCAAGTACTAATAATTGAATAAAAATGGGTTTACGTACAGTGCATTATATTTTATTTGTTTGGCATTTTAAAAATAAAAAAAATGATTTTTTTAGTTACCCCCAATATAATTATTGTGATTTTATGCAAAAGTTCACAATTGTTAAAAGATCAAGGTCTTGTTGGGTAAAATAGTTGGCATATCAGTCATTTTTGGCTTATTTGATCATTATTAATTGTTTTATTTGGTTAAAAAATTAATATAAATGTTTGATTAATTAACTTTTTATCACTCCAAAATGCTAAAATTTAAAAACTTACTCAAAGCAGCTTTTTCAATTATCTTTTTGAAATTGAAAAAGAAAATTATACCAAATAGTTATCCGCTAACAGTTAATTTACCAATCACTTTCTACAATCAGCTAATGTTATCAATTAGTTATACCCTCTGATTAACCCAATCAGCTAATCGCTAACATCCATTTACCAAAACCCAAGTTTATATATGCGTGCAGAGACTCAAACTTTGTGAATACAGTCCGAACCAAATATAATTCGAAATAGCCGCGTAACTCGTAATATAAAGATGTTATTTGAAAATAAATAAATATGAAACCTGGCTAGGCTAGGGTAGGGAATGCATGGCATGAGGCTCAGAATTTGGGATAAGTAAAGCACGAGTACACTGATGAGCTCTCTTCCCCAGTACACATGAATATTGTTAACTTTCTTCTGCTTTGTCTTCTACCTCGAGCTCTATGCTTAAACCCTAATCTGTTACCCTGCACTTAATTCTGTTCTTAGCACTCTAGTCTAGTCTTGTAGATACATGTTTTCAGGTGTTACAGTATCACAGTATATATATATAATGTGTATGGTTATTGGTTACCCACTATTATATTAATTTAAGCCAACAATCTTATAGCATATAGTTATATAAATTAGATTCTATATAAGAAATTTTTATATCAAATCTAGCTTATTTCCTTGTATACAAAAAAGATGTATTAAGTAAAAATCTTATTAACGACTTGACCAGTATTTTCAGGCCGAGTATATCTTGTTGACACTTTTCAATACTAACCTATACATTACGATTCCCAAGTTTTATTGACCCGTATTCTCTGTTTCAGGTACAAGTCAAGTTCAATTTACAAATTTTAATTTTTGATTTAATAAAAAAATAATTATGTATATGTTTACAACAGACACATAATGCCTCCCTGCCATATGCATCTTTCTATAACAAATTGCAATATCATTTATCACATACACCTATATAGTATCAATAATTATATATGTACTAGTGGTACCACATGCAATTAGTCACCTTGAAGCGCTAAGTGCCTCATGCAGAGCGTTGCACTAACAGATTAAAGAGAATAAGTTGTGTCTTCCCTACCAACAAGTGTTTTTATATAATGGTAAATGTTTATGTTTCAACAATCATATCAAATCAAACAAGTTTGTCTAAAATAACAAAGAAAAACGTTAAATTTTGAATGTGTGTATAAGTGTCTTTCATTGCTATTGTTTGGTGTTTGGTGATTAGTAGAATTTAATCTTTGTACCTTTATAAATTTGTTTTGAATTCATCGTTCAATTAAACTGTGACACGAGTATAATTTAAATATTTAATTGACTATAATATATGATTTAATCGGAGTGTGTGTTTGGGACTTGGGAGGTTAGAATTATTTTAATTAATTGTTTATTTGGATAATTAATGATATTATTGGAAAACAAACGCTGACAGAAACATCACACTTTTATTGGAAACTGAAATTTATACGGGTACGGAAAATTGATGGATTTTTATTTTCTTAAATTTCATAACGTACTTATGTCATCATGCTAAGAAAGCGATCACTCCATGTAGGGATGTCAATTGTACTCGCACCTAATGGAGAATCCGATTTCCCGCCCCTACGGGAACGGGGATGGGGGTAAAAATAGGGGATCGGAAATGGAGATGGGGACAATTTTGAATGGGGACAATTTTGGCATATTACTTCATCCGCATGCATGAATAAACTAGAGTGATTCTGATTGACCATTGTCGCCGAAGGAGCTTGAATATTCTGCGATGACCATGCGTTAATTAATCCAAAAATCATAGACTGTGCACCTCATGAATAATCAACGGTTTGTTATTTGGGCATTACCAATCTTTCATCCCTTATCTTCCAATTTCCTTCACATCACCATATAATATTATTTCATAGTTTCTCCCCAACATCTCACCTTTCTTCTCTTTTTTATGGACACATCTTTTACACGTCATTTATTATTATATTCACTTTTATATAGTTAATAATTTCAAATTTTGATTTCAAAGTAATTGTGTATATAGTTCTTAGTATTATAGCTAAAGTAACATATGTAATAACAATACAAATGCCAAGAATCAAATTCAAGTACAAGAAGAAGAACTACTATTTATGTTAGTATCTTCATGAAATACTAAATGTAATAAGATAAAATTATTAAGTCGCCAAAATCAAGATGACATCTCATCTCCCCATTAACATATTCACATAATAACTATAGTTCATTACCCTTGTTTTTTTTTTTTTTTTTTTTTGAAAAAATTCATTACACTATGGTTCACCCGGTAAGATGAACTAGTAACATAAAATTTATTTTTAGTATATTAAATGTTCATTTTTAATACATTATTTATTTATTTTTTTTTTTGTGTACTGAAAATTCATTATTTAGTATATATACTACTTGAAAATGAATGTTCGATACATTAAATGAGCATATTGGCAAGTACAATCTCAAATAGTAACCATTAGTTTCCGTCACCTAAAAAGAGAGTCGCTTTGTATACTCAACACAATATGACAAGTTAACCAATTTGGATGGTTGGCGTAAGTGGCTATTGTTTCTTAAGAGAGATCGAGAGTTTAAATCCCTTCATATATAAAAAAAAAAAAAAAATTAGTCTGGCCAACACTTTGATTCTTAATTGGGCCGATCCGATACAAACGGGAATTAGTTTGAGTATGATATAACTTAAAGATGCCTCCTACAGTTAGGGTCAGCTCAGAACACATGTGGTATGACCAAAAAAAAAAAAAAAAAAAAAAAAAAAACACAATACGACAAGCGTATTAGCGTAAACTCGTGGGAGTCGTGGCAACCACATTAAACGTAACATAGAGGACAAGAATTACCTGAAAAATACTCCGTATCTAGTTCTTGGTAGGGTCCACTCACCAATATCAAATCCTTATCCATAAAAATTAGGTTGCAAGGGATTGATGATCATGAATGAGTTTGCGTCACACATTCCCTTCTTAGACCACACCCATGACCCATGTCAAGGATACATTGTCAATCTTCAAATCAATTTGATATTAATATCTTTTGATTAAAAAAAAAATTAAAAATTCGATCGTATCTTGATGTGAGCTTATTTGTGCATATTTCTCTTGTCAATTTGAATATATTTTTGGGCTTAACTTCACTAAAGTGTTACTTTAAATGCATATTTCCTTGCTTTCTCATGAAGATATGATTTTATACTTGATTTGAATGTTTTACGGTGTTTGTTAGTGTTTTGAAACCATTATAGATCAATTGCAAAAGCAATGGGAAGTCCTAAGACAAGTTTGGAGCCGAAATGGAGTTGGAATGCTGAAACAGAGGATTGGACATGTCGAGAATCAAACTCGACGCGTCCAAAAATTCCAGAAGCAAAAGGAAGGCGCGAGCTGAAGACTTGACGCGTCGAGAAATTCCAGAACGTTTTGGAAAATCAATGCTGAATTAAAGACTCACTCATCGAGAAGTTCCAATAAGCGACATGATGTTTGGCGAGCAATACTCAACGTGTCGAAAATCCGATCCTGGACGAAATTTTGGAAGATTGTGCGGAAATTTCCTAATTTATTCCTATTGAGCTCCTGCTATAAAAGGTCCGTCTTCCCTCAACCCTAAAAACTCAAGCAGCATTTTTGGAGCAAAAGAAGAGAAGATAATCACACCCAAAGCTACAAGAAACCTTGGAAGAAGAGGAAAAGCCAAGAAGATTCGGGAGAATTTCTTTACCTTTTCTTTTGCTTTCTTTGTTGCTTGTAAACTCTTTTATATTATTGCTATGAATATTTTTCGATCGTGTCTCCACGAGTCTCCAAACACAAAATAAGACGGCCTCAACAAATACAAAAGTTATTCTCTATTCACTCGGTCATCCCTTCCCTTCCCGGGTTTCACCCCGAGTTTCAGATTTATTCCGTGAACCATTGTTCTTCATACCTAACACGGACTAAAAAAACCAAGAAATATAAAAAGGTGGTTGACAGTAACCAATTTGGGATTGATTAATGGCTCATCAAGTTGGATGGGCTTATCTTACTTTCCACGTTTAATCACATAAATGGTAAGATTATTAAGATTATCTTAGCATAATTAGTGCAACAAATCTTGATAATGGAGGAAGATGCTTACCTCGTCACCAATATTGCTTCTTCTTCTTCTTCTTCCTCCATTCGTGTTGGGGGCTCTTCACTTCTTTCGGGGCAGTATCAAACATGGCATCGAGAGAACACAACACAGAAGAGCTTCCATACACAAGAGGAGAAAGAAACAGATTGCATGATCCAAGAGAAAAGGATTTCTTTTCAAACCTAATCTAACCAGAAAAAAGCAAATCCATGCATAAGAACAGAAATCATTAATATCGATGATTTCCAAAGTAATCCTTCATAACTATGAAGCCACTTAGAAACTACTATGTACTATGAAACATCAAAGTAGATTTTTAAATTGAATATATTACCTTATTAAAAGTCGGCTATTATCTAAGTTCAGAAACATTAGTACCATGAACTTGAGCACATTTCTATCTGGAGCCATGCAATTGAAGAAAAGTTTCCAACTGGGAAATAGAACAGAAGGTTTGAGAAAAAAGGAGAGCGTTTTATACTGAAAAAAAGACAACACAGAGAGATATAATAGGATAAAAAGAACACATTTTTCTTGTCCACCACACTGATAAAATAGCTATTGTTCTCTTCTGAGAATAAAGTCAAGGGAACAGACAAGAGAAACAAATGCAGTATAGTCTGTAATCTGTATATGTAAATATTGAGTTTTATTCTTCACAGACAATGAAGATCAACAACAAGACGATATTGGCTAAAGAAGCCCACCGAGAACAATTTGTAACAGCTAAAATAATCTTATAGGTATAAGATCTCCATACTTTATGAGGTGAATCCCCAATGATATAATCAGCTTTGAGATGTATATACAACCTAAAAGCTTCGATCCAAAACTTTTCATGGTGGTTTGGAACCACGTATATGCCTTCCTATTTGCTTGGTTAACTGCCTGTTTCTGTGACACTGTTAGATTGGCTAACCTTCTCAAGTTGTATTGGCCAATCTTCTCCAAGTATACGAGGATTTAACTCCATTGCCACACGGAAGTCCTCCATTGAAATGGAAGGAGATCCCCTCATCTTTTGAAGATATCTGACGGTTCTTATCCCATTTAAAGTAGGTACAGAATGCTGCTGGACAACCTTGTCCCGTGACTTTGAAGCAGCTAAAGCCATGCAAGGTTTTATCAATCTCTTCAGGTAACCATCGAGCCCGTTGTTTATCAAGTTAACACAATCAGATGAGATCTTCAAGCCCTCGGCTTCCAACTTCTGTTCCAGCCTTTTCATGAGGGAGCTGATATCTGGCAACTCTCGGGTGCTGTGGCAGGTCTCTCTGTAAGGGGAAGAAGCTAATCCATGAAGTAATACCTTCTTCTTCGCCCTTGCAATCATCGAGACACCAAAGGGAGCTGTGAGGGGGCTTTTACTGTAAATCCCCGGACTGCCAGCCTGTTCAACCTCTTCTCCATCTTCGACAGAAGTCACAACTTCAACAGGATGCCTGCTACCCAAGGATAACAGCTCGGTAGCACTTTGCAGCTCTTGAACTTTTGGAGCAGAATCTTCACAGATAGCAGTATGAGTCGTCTTAACATGAGGCCCCAAAGGGCTCGGTCTGTGATCACGGAGGGTAGGAGTCCTCCCTTTTCTAGGAGACAGAGGAACCACATCCCTGCACAGTGGCTGAAGACTGCTGCTTTGACACCCATTCGGCACTTTCACATTCAAAGAAGCTAGCATTTTGTGGTCTTTCGTCGGGGGAGTGTCAGCAAAACTAGCGTTTTTTATCATCCCTTGAATGAGTGCATTATGAAGGCAGATGTTCTCTCTCCCCAGCATACTAATACACACCTTATCAAATTCCACTTTGTTAACCTTTAATCGAATAAATCTCGACAACAGGCTAAAGTACATCCGCGCTTTCTCTTTACCAATCTTCCTTCCAATCTGAAGCTTCAGCTCGACAGTGTTGATCCGGGGACAATGCCGAGCTCCCTGCATTTTGCCTCCAGAATTTTGCTTCCACTGACAAACCAAACAGTTAAAAGACCATAAATTCTAACGATTCCATAGCCTCTCTTTTTCAACCCTAGCTCATCATTGTCTCCATATCCAAAGTCAACCACTTACAGCAAAACCTCTGCCTATACAACACAAAATTAAATTCTGCAGGGAAATGCGCAAAGCCCAGACAGAATATAAACTCAAGTCATCATCAAATCACTTCAACAACTCAATTAACTCAACCAATAAGCAATTAAGCATAACACACCACACTCCCATACAAAATTAATATCCAATTTTTTTTTAAGAAAACAAAATCCAAGAAAGAACTGACCCAATGCTAATACAGAAGTTTAATTAATCCCAAGCGAAAACTTCCACTTAAAAGCTCAAATCTTTGCGTCAAACATTGATCGAAAATTAAACTCATCAAGCTCGGGCAGATAGACGATAGATGCAAGCAGAAAAGAATAGTGAAAGCAAAAGGGGAACACTTACCCCAGCCAATGAAGCTTCAGAAATCAACAAATTTGGGGGAACATGAAGTTGGATCAGTAGATGATCGAAGCGCGAGAGAGAAAGGTTAGGGCTTGAAAGCGGTGGCGTTTCCGAAGCTTCTGCTTCTGGTCATAAGTCAAAGGCAACCTTTTTCTTTTCAAAAATTTGCTCTTCGGTGAATCGGTGGTGAATGGTGATGCAGTGATTGGTCAATACTCACTGAGGTAGTCTCAGATTCTTGTATCTATTTTGATAACGACTTGCTTCAATCCACTCTTTTCTCCCATTTCTCCATTTTTTTATTCCTACTTTCTGTCTTCTAATTTACAAATTATTAGCCCCGCATAAATAAGTGACAGATTAAATGAGCATGATTTTCATATAGTGTGATAGGGTTATATATGGCTGCGGAAATAGGTCAGGCCGAGTTGAGTTTTAAGAAAATTAGGTTTTCTTCTGTTATGGAAATTTAAAGCTTAGATTTGAATATGTATCTGTATGTAGACGTTTTTTAGGCTCAAGCCTGAATTTGTAGTTGGCCAGGTAAGGCGTGAAGTCTTTTTAAAAGCCTATTTAATAAAGAGGCTTTTAAAAAAAGTTTCAAAGTAGGCCCTAAATAGATTTTGAACCTATTTAAATAGGCTTTGAGCATATTTAAGGCCTACATTATAAAGCCTTTTAATATATACATGTTTAATGAGTAGAATATAAGTTCATATTTTATAATAAAATTTTCAACAACACAAGTTTAACGAGTAGAAGTCCATAATACAAAATTCAACCATACAAGTTTAATAACTACAAATCCACAAGTCCATAATAGAAAAGTCCATCACAAGTTTAACAACAACACAATTACACAAATCATAAGTCTACAATACAAACATAATAACAACAATGTAAACATAATAGTATTCAAACATAAAATGAAACAAGTCATTGCTTCAACAAATCTCCTCTTGTCCAGAATCCTCCTACACAATGAAAAAAAAAATTGAGAATAAATAATTAAGTCTATTACACGTTCAAGTGCTCATAATTCATATATAGTAAATATTAAAGTAATAAGTAGTAATATAAAATAAGATTCTTACCTTTTTGTTTTTTCTTCAGCCCATACTTGTTACGAAGCCAATCCCACCACAAATAAGAGTTTCAGTAGATTGCTCATTTAAGCTAGCACGATATTCATCAATCACTCTTCCCCCATCACTAAACGTGGATTCAGATAACACACTTGAAATAGGAACAACTAGTATATCAAAAGCCATCTTTGAAAAAACTTGAAACTTTGGACTATTATCTTTCCACCGTGCCAAGGCACAAAAGAAGGAGGAGGAGGAGGAGGAGGAGGAGGAGGAGGAGGAGGAAGAAGAAGAAGAAGAAGAAGAAGAAGAAGAAGAAGAAGAAGAAGGATAGAAAAAATTTCCTCCTTTAAAAAAAAAAAAAATTTCTCTCAAGATAAGTCTCCAACTTTGATTTCGTAAGAGGAATTGATTGACTTTGGTAGACCATATTCAATAATTCTGGCATCCCTTTATCCATTTGTCATCCACCATCAACCACATTGCTGCTTTCAACATTGACTTCACTATGTCCATTAGTAGAAGAAGCATCTTGACTATACAAGTTCACATAATCAAGATATAATTCTTCTAATGCCCTTTTCACCTTTTCCACATTCTTTTCAAAATCACTTTGTGTTTTATACAATAAGGGAAAGTTATCTTAATACCATTTAATTTCATCCTTGGATCTAAAACACATGCAATCGACATTAACAAATTACATCCCTCCAATATTTGTCAAATTTTACTTTCATAGGTTTTGTCATCTCACTCATGAACATGTCAGAACACTCAGCTGCATTATCAATAACCTTTTTCACCCTTTGAAGTGGAGTAAACACTACCTGAAATGACATGAGTGGCATCATTAAAAACCTCCAAAAATTGACAAACCTTCTCAATCTTGTCCCAATCCTTAAATGATGGTGCATACTTATAATGTGGCTCCTTTTCATTGTAATCTGAAAAGATATGCTTAAATTTACTTGCACTACACAACATCAAGAATGTGGAGTTCCATCTTGTTGGACAATCAAGAATAAGTTTTCTTTCTTTTAGGGTCCGTTTGGAAAGCAGGAAAATGACTTCTGGAAAATGAGTCATTTTCCTTTTCGGTGTTTGGCTGCAAAATGGAAAACTGTTTTTTGGTGTTTGGCTCATTTTCTGAAAATGATGTAGAATTGTATAATTAAACATTTTATATAATTAATTCTTTTGTTTAAAATATATAAAATTTACAATAATATTATAAATAATAATATTTATTAATAAAATCAAATAATATTATTTATTAAAAAAAAAAAAGACGGAAACCAGAGAGTACAACTCTCTGGTTTCCGCCGTTCTCTCTGGCTTCCGGCCTGAAAGGCGGAAACCAGAGAAAAGCTCTCTGGTTTCCGGCCAGAAACCAGAGCCACTGGTTTCCCCAGCCGGAAACCAGAACTGGTTTCTGGCTGGGGAAACCAGTGAAGGGATGGTGTTGTTGAATGTTGTTGAAGGAGGAAGTCTGGCGTTTGTGTATGTGTTTAGAAGATGGAAAATGACTTCCCCTCAAAAAAAGGGGAAGTCATTTTCCGGAACTCAACCCTCATTTTTCATTGACTATTCACCATTTTCCTTTGACCACTTCATTTTTTCGCCTACCCAAACACCAGAAACTCGGAAAATGATTTCCAAAAATCATTTTCCGGGTTTTCAAACAGACCCTTAATCCTTTTAATTCAACAACTTCATGGAATGTCTTTAGCCTTGCATCTGAAGAATTTATAATTTTGACACTTTCACGAACATTGTGAATGACATCTTTAATATAATAGTGCTAAGGTCATCTTGCACCAACACCGGAACGTGAGCACAACATCTAACATGAAATAGTTGTCCACCAAGTACCAACTTACTACTCAATGATATGTTTTCTTTCAAACTTCTAACACAATAGTCATTTTAAGATGCATTGTCAACAGTTACTGAGAATATTTTATTCTCAATACCTCATCATCTCAAACACTTGAAAATAACATTTGCTATATATGTTCCTCGTCGAGTAGACAAAATTCAAAACTCTCGTCTGAATGTTCCAACTTGCATCAACAAAATGACATGTCACAACCATGTATTCAACTACTTGGTGACTTGACTTCCACATGTCTGTTGTAATGCTAACCTTACTCACATTACTCAAAATCTTTCTCAAAGTATTCTTTTCAGCTTCATACAATTGCAAACAATCACTTCTTGCTATTTTACGAGTGACTTTTCTAAAATTTAGATTTACATATTCAAAAGCCCACATGAACACATCATCCTCTATGATGCTAAATGGTCGCTCATGCACCATGATTGCACTAGCAATAATCTCTCTCATCTTTTCATTGGAGTATTTAGCACTAGGAACAATAAAAGGATTACCACCAGATGCACTAGGCGGGCGATATTGTATCGTTGTTTGCTTATTTTCTCGAGAGATATGCAACTTCCGCTGCAAGCAAATCTCAGATGGTTAGTGCTTGCACCCCTTCCACCAGTAGATAATTTTTCATTACAATACAAGCACATTGTTTTATTTGTACCATTAGCAAGTTCAATTTCTTCAAAATCATTTCATACCGCAGATATTTTTTTCTGCTTTTTTTGTTATGATTGAATCATTATCAACCTTATTGACTTTTTTAAAATTGTTACTTTCAATTGGTTGACTTAAAGAAATTGATGGAGTTGTAGTTGTAACTTGCACATTAACTTGTAATATTCGAATTTTGCTTAACAAAAAACATATTGAATAAAAATTTAATATTAAATGCCTTACATTTTATATAGCAAACCAAGTAATTTGGGGTAGTCGGTAAGTGAAATGCTAATACAAATGTAAATTTATTGGTGGTTTAATAGGTGTGATATCACTAATGTTATATTTTACTCCTATACTGACCTTTTTGACCTAGCAATATGATTCTTTCTATTCATGGGATGTCCACCCCATCAAGTAAAGCAGCAAATGGAATTTAACATTATTTTAACTTATTAATAATCACTTAATCTCATATCATAAAGTAACAATTAACATTATGAATTTTCAGGACAAAACTCAATTTATCAATCAATCAAAATAAAGTTTTATATTTACTCTTGATAATAGCCGCAAAGTACAAGCTAGATTCTTTCTCCACATGTCTTCCGGCATGAGTGGCGTGGTTTACCCTTTTTTTTTTTTTTTTTTTTTTTTTTTTAAGGGAAAAGACGATTTCATTAATAGAGGTCCGTAGACAAAGAACTAACAATGAAAGAGGGAGGGACAGCAGTCCAGACCCTACGATCAGGCATGGAAAGGGATTCCCGAACTAACAGATGGGCAATTCGATTCGCTGACCGTTTAACAAAAGAGATAGAAACATCGGTAAGCGACGAAAGTAAATCTTTAACATCAAGGAGAATAAGATCAAAATTAGAATCAAAGCTAACAGAATTCAACCCCTCGATGGTTTGTAATGCATCAGTTTCCAGCTGGCAATGGGTGATTTGGTTCTCCTTCAACCAGCTGAGTGCTTCACGGACCGCCATGGCTTCAGCTTCCTTAACAAAGTACAGGCCCCAACATGGAAGGCTAGCACCTGCCTTGAAAGATCCATGTTCATCGCGCAAGATCCATCCAAAACCCATTCGTCCACTTGAAGGATTAACTGCAGCATCCACGTTGAGCTTAAGCCATCCCTGCCTTGGTTTGGTCCACCTTGTGATAAATGGCGGTTGTTGGGGCGGAGAGAAATCGTCCCTTTCTTGAACCGATGTCCATTCAGAGAGGTGAGCTTTGGCTTTCTCCACAATAGTGCTAGGCGATAGAGAAACATTGTTCCAGACTCTTTCGTTTCTGGCATACCAGAGATACCAACTGATCATAAGCAAGAGGCTGCAAATTATTGTGTACTGGCGTGGTTTAACTATTTGCGGCAAATTATTGTGTGGACCATGACTCACGTAGTGTTGTGTGGACTATAACAAAAAAAAAATAATAATAATAATATACTAAAAATATATTATTGTGTACCGAATGTACATTATTCAAAATAATATATTTTCAGTACTCAAATAATGTATTTTCTCTGAATATAATATACATTTTTAATATACTAAAAATCTATTATTTTTATACTAAATGTACATTATTTAATAATA